TTCAAGAGCAGGACTTAAATACACCTGCATTTTCATAATTCTGGGACTTGGAAAAACATCTACATCTCGGAAATATAATAGGGGCATTAGTGTATTTCCGTCAATCTAAGCCGCATCCGTGCTTCTATTGGCATTTTTACAGCATCACGCACACATAAATATGCCGTGTTTGTTTGCTTACATTTACTTGCTGCTTGCTGCTCTATCCTTCCCAAGCGACAGAATTGTGCAAAACTGTGAGTGTGACTATTGTCGGCATCCTTTCCATTTAAGCTGCGTGTTAACCAGCTGTTCTATTATCAGCAACTCGAAATGAGCCGTAATTTGAAGTGTGTATATTTCATTCAAAGAAAAATCTAGCATAACATGTTTGCTCAGTTGCCGGCGCCGGTGGTGTCGTGGTAAGCTTGACTGCTTTCTAACACCCCGATGGGTCTGGGTTCAATCCCAGCCGAGGTCGGTGGGATTTTTCTGAGGCATAAAAATCTCTGGTCACGTCTTCCTTCGGAACGGAAGTAAAGCCGTTGGTCCCGGCCCATGTGTGTTGAATGGGTGCGATATCCTACGCAGGTGTGGAAGCTGCCTTCCTGCACATTCGAATGCCATCAATGGATGGCAATCGATTTTCCGTCGATGATTGGCACTAGATTGCGGAACAGAGACCGACGTTAAATAAAGGAAAAAGAAGATGTTTGCTCAGTTGTGGAAATGTTATCAAATTGAAGCTGAAATACATTCAGCGAAGTGAAATTAACGTTTGATTTTCTGTTGCCGTAAACAGTAATGGGTGCCCAATAGACTGATGCAAAATTTGAAATTTTTGCTCCACAGTGCTTAAACGGTTCCAAACTGGGTCCTGCTTAGCCTCCCGAAATTTGAACTACTTTAGTAAGAAACTGACTTGGCACAAACCATTTCAAGTTTATATGGGAATTACTATGGGAAAACTTATGTTTTTGTTCATATCTATCTAACAATTCACCACATCACTATGCTTTTAAAAATGATAGCAGAGATTGTAGCAAATTCTCTCATATACAACTTTGTTGAAAACCACTTTTCAATCAACTGTAAGGAACAAAAGTTATTTATGATTCAAGTCACTGATGTGTTATGATTATGCTCATTCAACTGGTGCGAATAATAGATCACAGATATCATGGCTACTATGTCACACTGCAGAAAGCAGTGTTGCCCACAGAACAGCTGCTTGATCATGCCATAAGATTATCAATCTCTTAAACAATTAATAACAATTTAATTTGACATTTGGCTGAAAAACGGTATTCCGCAAAGTTGCAGGTTAAATTTCCCGTAAGAATAGTTATAAAAATTTTCGAAAAAGCTATATGGAAAATGGGTAGAAGACAATGAACAAAAAGTTTGGTTTTCCCATAGTAATTTCCATGTAAACTTCGAATAGTTTGTGCCAAGTCAGTTTCGTCCCAAATGAGTTTAAATTTTGGGAGGCTAATTAGGACCTGATTTGAAACCGTTTGAGCACTGTGGAGCGAAAATTTCAAATTTTGCATCAGTCTAGTGCCTAAGCCTAGTTTGGAAAAATCTTGATTATTTATTAAGATTTTTGACTGAAAGAAAAAATACAAGTTTGTGGTCTTTCAAAACCATCAAAACTTTGCACCATACAAATGAACAGATTCATCGACTATAATAAACCTCTTTATAAACATTCCCTGATTGATGGTACAATTTCCTGATAATTCCAGGATTTTGTAGATCTTTTGAAATACCCTGATATTTCCAGGTTTTTACAAGTAGTTGCTACACTGCACCTGAAAGTTTAATTAACAAATCTATACCAACATTTTAAATAGACGGAACAACCAAACGAAAACAATGAGTTTAAACGCAAATTTCTCGTGAATCAAAACACATCCAACAATTTAACACCAGCTTCTGTTAGAGCAAACTTCCTTTATCGAATGGCATTGTTAATTTGCGTGGGTGTGTTTTGATACTCTAGAAATTTGCGATTAAAGGCATTGTTTACGTTTGATTGTTCCACCTACTTCAATTGTTGGTCTAGAAGTATACATTGGCCACACAAGCTCAGGGTTGCAGCGGGAAAGTAGTCTTAATATGAAGTAAAATCTCATCAACATTCAAATACTTGATCATTTGTTCCGGGTATGTTCCGAGTGCTCCCTGTCCTAAATCTGCTATTAGTCAAAACCAGTGGCGTCACGTGAGAAAATTCACTAGTTGTGCACCTATTTTATTTATATTTTGTCTGTAACAGTAGAAGCCAATTTTGATGCATAATAAAAAAACATGGGATACAAATCTTTCGACGGGGGTACCTGCTTAAAAAATAAAAAAAATGATAATGAGGAACAGTTCTGCTACCAGTTTTGCTTACTCTTGCATAGAAACATTGATTTTCCTTTTAAGTCTCATGTTTATGATATTTGTCATCGTTACTCACCGTTTCCTAAGCAGTAGTGTAGAGTTGACGCCAATTGCGATTTCCTCGAAATGCTCCACTTCCCGCGCAATTTCCTCGAGCATGTGACACAACCAACAATTTCCACTTGTCCATTTTCGGCAAAGTTCCGCGTTATAATTTTACCATTTCTTTTACATGTCGTTTTCAAGTTGTCGTGGGACGTCCATTCTCGCAATAAGCATTTATTCCTCCATGGATCTTCTGGCAAACGGTCTTTTCAGGAGGTCATCAACAATATCCTGTTCCATGATTCCTATTTAATTTTGCACTATGCCATGAACAATATTCCATCAATGCGCTGAGGCTACTGAATGAATTGCAGACATGGTAGTGAGAAAATTTAAAAATTTAAAAATTCGATGTGTGCTTGTAGGTAGGTATACAACGAATGACGGCTCTCCAAGATTCAATCAATTCAGAGAGAAACTCAAATGCGACGTTGCCTATACGTGCCAATTTATTCTCTTCTCTTTAAACTGTGCAAAGATAGAAGTGCACAAAATAAACACTAACACAGCGGCAATTATGCTTACGGGACTTCAATACATATACAACTGATCTGGTTGTAAATACGAGCGTTTCTGGTGCACAAGCATAAGTCCTCAGACTGGGAGAACTTAGCATGCGGTGGCTTAGGTAGAACGAAGGCATATTTTCCTTGCTTGTTTTGTGTCGCTCATTCGCCATAGAAGCCCAAAAAGAGTGTTGTCTGCATGTTGTAAAATCCCAGCGTGCCCGTACGTGAAAACAAGATCGCTATGCCTCGCTTCTGTTTTACGTACATTTTTTTCAGTGGTGGTTAAAACGGAGGTTGAGCAGCTATGTGGTAAACAATTCAGCTACTATCCAGTGATGTGGTGGATAATTCAGTTACTATCCATATGAAACCAATAAATAGGGCGGACAAAAATGATTTTAATGGAGTATTAAATTTTTGCCTCTTAATTTTTACGAAATATAATTTTTACTTTTTGAAAATTCGAGACTGTGCAGTGCACGAGGTGCACATATGGACGAGACGCCACTGGCAAAACGTTTTGCATGAACACAAACCCACATAAGAAGTCTCACCATACATTCTGCTTTTTTTATATTAAGATTTTCTTTCAGAGACATCGTGTTTTACGTTGGCCCTTTGCATCACTGCAGGTGCGCAGGATACATGAGTGAGTGAGCTAACAAAAAATGGTAACATTTTGGTGATGAATTTTAATATTTGATTTAATAGTAGATTATTTAAAAAAAAAAAGTAGTCTGCAAAGGTTTAAGCCTCGCGCGCGTATTACTGATATAGAGGACTGAATTTAATATATTTCTAAAAAAAAATGCAATTTTGAAGCTTATTTGGAAGATACCTTGAATTAGTAGTAAGTTTTCTGGCAAATGTTGGAGGTTCGTGAGCATTCCTGACATTGCTGAAAATTATGATAGCATCAGATTGCGCGGTTGCTAGTGTAATAGGATGCTTTGTTGATTGTTCACTAACTCTTGATTGCTTGTAATACTTACGAATATTTAAGGTGGACAAAAAGGCGAACTAAGAGGTGGACGAGACTGAGCTTTTCCACATTTATATAGCTGTGAAGCAATTGTAAACTCTAGAGGGAATTTATATCTGTTACTGAAACCAGTTCGATTTTGTTTGCCAACCTGGTTAAAATGTCACATTTAATTATCTTAAAGATAAATCGTCCAGCTGAAACCTTTGTAGGGGTAAGAGGTGGGACCATCATCATCAATAGATCTTGAAATCCTCGTTAAAAAGGCAATGGGGCGTCTTGCCTCGCGGTGCATTTCGCCCTACATTTGAACTGTGGTCCCTGCTATGGACACATTTAGTTAACTTACTTTACTAATACCATTTGGTTGAGTAAGTGTTTGGGTGAGGGAAATTCTACAGAAAATAAGGAATGCCCGATCACAGCTTTTTCATTCTTAATTTGTAAATTTGACAAGCAACAGTGCTAGCTCAGTACTTAAACCAGCAATGCTGCACAACATGGCCCAGAATTGAATATTTTCCCATTTTTGACGTCTATCCATAGAAAGTAAAGATTTGTGACGCAAATATATTTTCCCATAAGCCTTGTCTCTTTTATGAAAAAGGCCATGGAACTCGTACCCTACCGGCACGTCGTCGTGTGGGGTTATTATTATTTTTTCTTTGGAAGAGATGTTTGTAATCACCACAATTACGATCGCTTTGATTGGATACTTATTGGTTCTGAATCGTACGTGCGGTAATTGTGCCAATATGTATGGGCGATCGTACGCACGTAAGAAACGAGTGGGTATTTTTGTTCGTTAAAGTGGCACTTTTGCATCGGGTGGTTGACCGTCTTTTCCTTCCAATCGAATCGAAGCGCGATGCAATGATATTCAAATCCCCGCGTGTGGCTTTTTTCAAAGATGATCGTGCCAAATGCTCAATGCGGTACATATGAGTACACAAGCATGTATTCATGCAGTTAGTAATGAGACAGCTAATAAAAGTCTATGTTATGCAATTTGATGGCTGTTTGAAGTTGCTTACCTGCTTTCGAACACCGGGGAAGATGACCAGAAATGCCAGATAGATAGTGGCAAATAAGACGCAGACGGCCACAATCGACACATCGCCGGTAACTGGGGTTCGGTTTGAGAACGAGTACAGAGTGGGAGCCCCATCGTCTCGGAATGCATCGAACCAACCCTTCATCGTAAGGGAAGGTCGGCTATGGTGGGAACTTGGGGTGGAAGAAAGATAGAGAGAGAAGAAAATATATTATTATGGTGCTCGGTCGGTTTTTGCTGCTACTAACCTAGAGGGCAAACGAAAACGAAGGTAAAAATATTAACAATAACGTGGAAATGGTTTACTAACATATAACATCATGTTTTGGGTCACATAACTGGCGTTCAGCGTAATTTGAATTAAGTACACACATTTTTGGGACCTCAGATAGCCTCCAGTCAATAAAGGCAACAAGTCGGAAGCGGCGGTGTGGTCGAGGAAATCTTTCGAGTTTGAAAATTTGCTCGACTTTCCTGGGTATAGATTATCATTGTGCTTGACACACAATATACAAAATCATGCATAACTGTGGAAGTGCATCTACAGAACACTAAGTTGAGAGTCGGCAAAATGTTCGCTACAGAAGCGTAAAAGTTGAGAAGAAGGAGCTAGGCGCTTGACTAAGTTCTCCCGATTACTTCTAAACAATACGATGGTAATGATGTTCAACTGCACCATGTCGTGCTAGCTGTTAAAACGATTCTTCGCAATTTTTCCAATCCAATGGTCATCCAGCTTCTACGTCTAGAATGGTCTCAAAACCGTTGTGTTTTCCCAAAGCCAGTTGTAAAGCAAACTCGAGCTTACCCTGTAGTTGCATGCCTCTGGGAAGAGTCAGTTAGTGGAATGCCGGCTAATGACATTACAAATTCCTTCTATCAAACAAGATCACAGGACAGTAGAAGTGTGCCGCGGTGGCGGTGGAGGTGGCGGCGTGCATCGGCGAGAAGAATATAGGAATTCCGCAGTCCACTCACTTCTTCTTCCATCCTCCAACTAATTTTGTAGCTGGCAGCCGAGAAATTATTGTGCGTGGACTGAAACAGTAACTGCACTATTCGAGAGCTCTTATATGGAACATTTGGCAGCTTTTCCATTCCACTGTATAAATGGCCCTTTAATATTAAATCTTCACCAAATTACTACACGATACACAGTACATCTGTTACCATCTTTTCTGATTATAGTGTCTCCAACCCTCCCAGCAAAATATGATAAAAAACTTTCAAATATAAAAATTTACTGGCTTCAAGCCATCCTAGAGTCTTGATGATGAGATTGACTTCATTAAACGGTAAATATCAAGTCAAGCTCGTATGGCTCATTTGCATTATTCAGGACTAATTCATATTTATTTATTTAAAAGACAATTGACACCGTCTTCAACCAGAGGTTGTACAGACTGAACACACTTAACACTAGACAACAAATAACACACCCAGTAGACCAGTAGGGAAATTTTCTTTTAAATGAAAAATTTCACCGATTGGAGCGGGACGAACCCTCACTTCATGGTACACATAATACGCCTGAACGACGGGTGACGCCGCTAACAGCACGACCAGTTAGTTGGTAGAATCGTCGCCTGTGACATGCAAACATTACAAAACAGCACAGTCGTGAACATAACATAAAGAAAACATGGTGTGAAATATCAACTGTAGTCAGAGCATTAAAACTCAATCTGACTGAACATCCAGCAATCCTCGTCGTCAGTGGTGAAACGAAAAAAAAAAGAACAAAAGATACAGATAGCGTAATCAAATATTTTAAATGAACAATATGGTCTACTCTTCTATTATCCCCAAGACACGATATTCCCCGATACTAGCACCACTAGTGACAAGGTGAATAGAACACTGTAAATTGAGCGCTTAGCAGATGATGACTCAATATCAACAAGGTTATCGAAGACAATACACAGTTGAGTAACATTTTTCTCAGAATTGAGAAAAATTACCTGTTTTAAATTATATTACAATTTTCTTCAAACTGGAGGTTATGATGATGATGATGATGATGATGATGATGGTCCCACCTCTTACCCCTACAAAGGTTTGAGCTGGACGAGTTATCTTTAAGATAATTAAATATAAACATTTTAACCAGGTTTGCAAACAAAATCGAGCTGGTTACAATTACAGATATAAATGTCCTGTTAAATATGCTATAGGCATCAACCAAAAACATTCAAAGGTGTAACTAGTTATCAAAAGTCCAAGTATAGTCCTCGACAATACTTCCATTTACACGTGACCTGGGATTTACACGTTTAAGCTTCCGCAGTGCCAGGACTATATCCAAGGAAACGACTTCCAGCCAACCCTTTACTAATTCAAGGCTTTTGCCACAATTTCCACGTATTAGTCATTTATACCTGTATTCCGCGCGCGAGGCTCAAACCATCGTAGACTACTCAAAGCTATTTTTACTATTACTACTACAAAATCAAAAAAACTAAAAATCCATCATCACCATCGAGGCAAACAATGTAGTTTTTTGTATATGCTACACCAATTACTAAAATGTCTTTATGACAGTCTCCATACAAAATAATCCGTTAGAGATAACTTTGTCGAGATACATGATTTATCCATTCATAAAAATTTAACTGCTCAATAAACAGCTTTTACATGTGAAATGCAGCGTCTCTTGAATTCTGTAAGTGTAGTTGCACGCTTGATGTGTCTAGGCATCGAATTGAAAACATTTATACCTTTGAAAAATAATGAATTTTGTGAAGCATTATTCAAAAGATGTGGTGTTCTTACTTCATCCGCGTTTTTAGTGTTATATCTATGAAAATAACTTCCTCTTTCAATCCGATCACACAAATATCGAGGCAGCAAACCGTTAACTACTTTAAAAATGAACACCATAGTCAAAAACACAATTCTTTGCTTCACTGACAGCCATTGCAAAGCGTCCAGCATAAAAGTTGAGGAAGTGAATCTATTACATCTTAAAATCAAACGCATTACTTTATTCTGCAAACGCTGTAATCTCGATATTTGTGTTTCATTGGCCAAAAATAAAATGGAAGGGCAAAAGTCTAGATGAGGGGAGATGATTGATTTGTATAACTGTATTTTACTACCAATAGTTAAATCGTTTTTCAAGCGACATAGGATTCCATACTTCTTGGCAATGTTCTTGATGACATTGTCAATATGAGAATTGAACTTGAGTTTGTCATCAATAATCACGCCAAGATATTTAATTTCCTGAACGCGATCAAGTGTCTCATCATCAATAACAACAGAGACATCATCATCTACACGATTCCGCGAAATTAGCATGAATTTAGTTTTACTTACATTCAATTTCAATTGTTTATACTTCAACCATCTACTTAGAGAACGCAAATCTTCATTCAAGCGTGAAACGGCTTCTTCTAAATCTTTAGCTGCAATGAATAACACAGTATCGTCAGCAAAAAGATTGATATCACAAAACCGTAGAACTCGTCTCATGTCATTAATATACATAATAAATAAAAGGGGCCCTAATACACTTCCCTGAGGCACTCCAAGGTCATTTTCAACGGGACAAGATACAAAATCATTAAAAACAGTCCTTTGTGTTCTGTCAGATAAATAGCTTTCAAACCATTTGTATGCAGAACCCGAAATTCCAAAGCGCTTGATTGTTCTCAACAATAAGGGCCTAGAAATTGTCTCAAAAGCGCGTTTTAGATCCAAAAACACAGCAACAATCGTATCTTTATGCTCCAAATTTTCTTTCCATTTAGCTAACACTAAGTTTAACGCGGTTTCACAAGAATGGCCTTCCCGGTATCCCGATTGTTCCGGTATCAACAAACAGTTACTATTTAAATATTCTAACAGCTGGCCTTTTACAACAAGTTCTAAAATTTTCTCTAATGTGTGCAACATGTTGATGGGACGAAACTCTTCGGCTTTAATCGTCCCAGCAACTTGTTGTATAGGAGCAACTAAAGATTCTTTCCAAATATGCGGCACGTGCCCAGATTGCAATGATTGATTAATAAGGTCCCGCAGAGTGTGTCGAATGACATGAAAGCAATCTTGAATAACTCTAGCATTAACATTATCTACTTCAGCCGTTTTTCCTAATGAAAAGCAAATATTTTTAAGTTCATCTAATGTAATTGGGTGAAAACCATTAAATCTACAATTACTATTAATCGGCTGTTTTATTTCGTCCGGTTCATTGATCAGTTCAATAGATTGATTGATCAGTGAAACGCTCTCGACGAAATAGTCATTAAACTTAGAAGCAATTACTTGTTCTGACTGTTCTAATATGCCATCAAAAGTTATGGTCCGCGATTTACAATTACTAGGCTTCATCAAAGATTTCAAAATTTTCCATAACTCTTTGTTTTGATGCTGATCAATTTTCCTCTGAATATATTCACATCGAGTTTTCTTAATCGATTGTGAATATTTATTACGCACGACCGTGTACCTATTCCAATGATTATCACTATTAGATCTACAAAACTTTTTGTACCATTTGTCCCTCTTACGTTTAAGACGCAAAAGATCCAAATTGTACCAGCTGTTCGAGTTTTTCAAAGAAACATACTTTTGTTCAACTAATTTATTGGTACAAGTTTTCAAAACGTTAGTAAGAACAGCTGCATCTTCATCTAAAGTTCCGGTAACTAATGGAAAATGGCAGAATAGAATATAATATGTTATGTTTGAACATCTCAAGACACATTCTAACTCGGAAAACGCCTAAATGTATGTATCACCTAATTAATCATCGCTGATCAACCAATGATTTTTTGTAATTTTCGATAACTTCTAGCGATTGGATCTGCTTAGAATGTTTCAGAAATTAAGTTTAATTATTACTTTAACTAACTCTTTGGTTATTTTGGTGCTACAAGAACTGTTGCCATGCTTGGTAATGTTTCGAAAATGACCAGTTTCCCATACATTTTTGTATGACGTCCTTATATTTATTTCCGAAGGAGAAAAACACATTTCCATTTATTTCCCCTGCGTACATGATGTAATTGGTTATTTCTATGGGTGATATTGTAGCATGATAATGTGGCTTCCAAAAATACATGGTTTAGAATTCCTCTTTTTTTTTTTAACTCTTTATTTGTTCCAAATTCAAAATAAATTACATTTCATTTTCAACCTAGGTGCTCCAGTTACTACAGTAACTTAC